GTTGAGGACTTCAAGCGACGTCGTCAGACTGAACTGAAGCACGGCCGTATCTCGATGTTGGCCACAATGGGATACATTACGCCGGAGCGACTCGTCGGCTGAAGCGTCGTGGTCGTCAGAACATCAAAACAACTGCAATCGTTGGAGCGACATGCTTTGTACAGCTGCGCAACACAATTGCTAGAACCAAGAAGAGCATTTCGTTCAAACTATGTACTTGTATCATGAATCATGCATCAGTGTCGTTTAATTGATGAATCATTTTGAGTTAAGATGCATGAATCATCAAACTTGAGATTTGCTTGGAGACCAAGGATCACTGGAAAGTTGCCAGGATACCTTTCGCCATCAGCAGGCCTGAAGTTTGCCGACGTGCCCAACGGACTTGCGGCCATTTCCAAGGTGCCTGCAGCAGGTTGGGGACAGATCTTGGCCTACATGGCATTCTGCGAGGTTTCCCAGGATCAGTCTCCTGGCACACCTGCTGCTGCGGGAGACTTTGGCTTCAAGGTCTTGACTTCATCTGATCCTGCAGAGAAGACTAAAAAAACTCTCAGCCGAGCTGGCAAACGGCCGACTTGCAATGATGGCGATCATCGGAATGTTTTTCCAGGAGATCATTTCTCGCTTTAACACTATTTGTGTTGATAGCCGATAGCCCATAGAACATTGATGCATTGAAGATCATTCGCAATCCAGCTGGTTTCGCGGACAACATAACAACTTAAGAGTGATTGTTTCTTTAACAGGATGGCTTGACCGGCAGTGCCTGGGGAGACTGGGCCAACTACACCGCATCTCCTTTGCGAGCATTCGAGAATGAGTTGGGAGTGCAAGAGCCAGTTGGGTTGCTTGCTTTCCAAGTGGATATGGGTTGCATATGTTTGCGTTGGATTTAAGTTGGACGATGCGTGCATTCAAGATGATCTTGCAATTTCCATGACCTTCTTGTTCTTGGATCTAAATGAAGATAGCCTGTAGAGAGAGGCGTTAATATAGTTTGAATACCCACAAAAATCTATGTCCATTCTTGTTCTGCTGCACATCGTCTATCACAAATGAGGTTTTGGGATCCGGCCGGCTTCACGGCGGATGGCAGCGTTGAGGACTTCAAGCGACGTCGTCAGACTGAACTGAAGCACGGCCG